ACTACTTTCTTCATAACTGCATCTTAAATCGTAATTCATCTGACAGTTCCCCAACAATGTCACAGCTAAACAATCAAACCAGCATGTTAACAGAGAAATTTCAGTCATTTCTTGATTCAATATCCACAAAGGTAAAAAGATAGACACGGGAAACTAAAGCAAATTCCAACAATAAACTGTATCAACAAGTATATACGTCATGTCAACAGTGATTAAACCACAAAAAAAAAAAAAAAGAAATTCAGGATCATGGTAATTTTTCTTAGAATTGCCATCAAGAATTCAATAATAAGCAATTCAAGCATTAACTCCACAACAAAAGCAGGAGGAAATAAGAATCAAATAAAAAAGGGATATATTGGTTTTAAGGGAAAAATAGCAATAGCACCAAACTGAAATTTGGCCATCTCAGATCCAAGTCCAACAACATTCCCAGCCTGAAGAAGAGGACATTTCAATGCTCCAAACAGTTACTTGTCTCCTCGTGCTTTCTACTTCTGGTAGCACTCATATGCACACTTGAAATGAGCTTGCTGCAAGATCAAAAACCTGTGAGGTAAATGTAAGACAAGGGAATCAGGAACCCATAGAACATATGAAATTCATTTTCAAAAACTCCACAAACACTAAATCACAAATTTTATGGAACAACTGACAAGCAATTTAATCCAATCAACACATTCTGACTAACAGAATCAAAGAAAAGCATCAAACTCGTACAGCAAGAACGCATACATTAATAATGATATGATACATATCTTCGCAATTGTATTGAAACCAAATTGATGCTACAGATATAATGCCTTAACCGTTAAATGCTGTATAAAGAAATATCCAACACTTTAACAAGGGCCGGCAAGAACTCCATCACAAGAAGGCACAAATTGAGTGATGCAGTGCAAGCAGGGGTGATCTGATTTTAATTTATTTTATTTTTTTGGTTGCTGTCCTACTTTCGCATTGCAATTTTTCAAATCTTAATTGCCCCTTTCCTGTAGGCTGCAATATGGGAAGACGAGGGGAGGAGACAGGAGAAGAGGTGTTAGAGAGAGGACAGTTGTGGCGGAGACTACAAAGTCAGGAATAAATGAAACACCTCATAAATTTGTATCCGGACAATATTCTCCCTCATAATAGCAGTTCAAATACAAAATTGCCCACCTACAGAAGATGTCTACAAGACCAGATTACTGTTCATAACTCCAACTTCCCATTTCTATTCTCTTAGGATATAGATGATAGGAGTACATCAAATCAAACCTTTAACTAAAGGGCAGCTACACAGTAAAATGTCAACTAGAATGAGTTAAAGGATTACGGTTCGACCTTTCAGTGATCCATCCACATTACTCAGGCAGCGTTATTGCAATTCTGGAAGTCCAAAAACCAAATAGTGCCATGTTGGCGCAGAAATTTATAGAGAAAGAGGTAAATAGAACTAATAATGAATATAAGCAGAGGTTCATCTTGCCAGTTTCTCTACTCAACCATCAAGAGCTTAAAAATACATGTTAAATCTTACTTCTACTACTGGATTTACTGGATTATATTAAAATCACAATCTCAAAGCCATCAAATATGTTGTCGACAAACTCCTCAACAAATTCCATGAGCTATGGGTACTAAGGCACAAACACTTCTTTGCATCCTACACAAGTAATAAGAAAAATTAGACACTCAACATTATCCCATCATTGTCTATCAGTTTCACATTTGTGCCTGCATCTGGACTTTCAGGATAAAGCCGTGGTAAAACAACTAACCTGACCTTTATTCAGGTTCACATACAATAAGAAATTACTGTAGGAAAACAATTTCAAGGCTTTCATGCAGCAGATATGACCTTAAATTTATCCTAGCACTTACAGAACAATAAATCTAATGACCACACAATTTAGACCTACTTTAAGCAATCTAAATCCACTAGTTATAAGTTGAAGCTGCAGCACAAAGATGAAATTTGCATGATAGAAGAGAAGCACTAAAGAATAGAGGCCAACTAAGCTTGTATGATATCTGAAATGCATACAAACAACCAGAATAAATATAGGAACTTGAACTGCTGGACTTTTTTTTTTTTGGATGGAAAGTCAAACAATTAACCATTCGAATCTGAAAGTATTAGCCAGTAAAATTTCAAATTGTTTATATAACTGGTTAACACTATAACAAGTAGTACTCTCGGAGATTACATCCACTATCAAAACAATTCATAGCAAGCTCTGTAGTTCACCACCTCCCAAATCTTAATCCAAAGCCAAATATCAATTCTTAGACCTTACAAGTGTACTGCTAAGTATTAAAAATGAAAAAGTAATCAACTTTCAAGTTAAAATTCTATACGTAACACTTAGAATACGTATGGAGCTCCTCCTATCTGTCTAAATTTTACTTGTACATTTGGCCAATCCATTAAAAAAAAAAAAAGCTGAACTACTTATGCCACAGAACCTGGTCCCCTCCCCTCAAACTGCAATAAAGCATGCATCCAATTACCCATACAGCACAACCAACTTTTGGATTAGATAAAAAAAAAAAAAAAAAAAAAAACTTCAAAACCTAATGAAAAAGGTACAGATTACCTAAAAGTGCATAAGAGGAAGACTGAATAAAAAGTCAGAAGCTCAATAAACATTCGAAAGTAAGAACATCATACATAGCATAATGGCAACAACAAAACATCCAAATAAAAAGTGATAATTATCATAAAGGAACAAAACCCCCCTCAGCTTTCACCTAAGTTGCAGTTTGTCCTCCCCAACAACATCAACAGGCATTTTATACCAACTAACAGACTGCGTTAAGTATTTAGATGGTGAAACGTCATGTCCCAAACACTTGCCACCTGCTTTTGCTCAGTCAACCATGCAACTGCTCATCAGTAAATGTGCAGAAATGGCAATGCCTGTTGTCAGCTTTCAAATAGGTTACATTAACTCTGTTAGAAGGAAATATACTCAGATGAGCTGTCTTCTTCTCCACTGTCATTGAACTCTTAGCAATCAAGTGAAGCAGACTCCAGGTCGTTAGATTGATCAAGACGTGACATTAGACCATTATCCCTACAATAAATAGCAAACTTTTAGTAGTCAAATGATAATTTCACTAAAGCAAAATCTAATCGCCAAGATTCAAAAGGGAAACAAATCAGCTTAAACCAATAAAATTCACTCAAAAAATAAAATAATGCCAATTTGCACCTGGAACAATGCTTGATGAAACAAACTAAGTAAAGCCAGGAGACAATGTGGAAGGCCAGCAGTCTTGGATACAGTTGTCCTGTACACAATGAAAGACCGAAATTCACCTTACCCTTAACTGCAAAATCATTCTGAAACCAGCAGGAAATTGGCCTATTAAACAAATTCTGGAGCGCAATGACCAAATTTCAGCTTCATCTACATGGAATTATATAACACATATCCTGCAAATGAAAAAATGATTAACAAAGAAATTGTAATAAACAAAGCTGAATCTTCCATTAGGGCCTCATATCCATGAGAACTGATTAGCATTGCACCTAATATTGCTTTCTTCTCTCTAGCTAATCTTCATGCACTTAAAGTGATACGTTATTTTGTAGGTTACAAGTGGCCCATGTGAGCCTAAAGTGCTTGGGCAAGAATTATTGTCCATGAGACAAACTACTGGTTCATGGACATCTAATAACTTTTCCTTAATTCAGCATTCTGATAATCTTCCAAAAGAGACGAAACAATACAGGACAAAGTTCATTCAAAGTGCATCCAAAAGTATGAATACATATAAAACAATGACCCATCAAATGATTTGACTGTGCACCTTCCATCTTCAAGAAGCAACAGAGCTTACAATTGCACACACTCATAGTCAAAGGCAACTCACAAAGATGCACCTGACATCAGTTCCATAAAGAGAACAAAGAAAAGAGGCAGGCACATATTTAGCAATTTGCTTCCTACTGATAGCTAGATTGATTACAGAAAGCTCCAGAAGCTTCTGAGTTCACCCCCAAAAGGGGGAAGCGAAACTTAAATGTGTTCTGTGTCAATATAACTTTTACGGAGACATAAACCGCTGAACAAGGAACTCAACTGATAGACATCACCTGCGTAAAGGGGAAGCATATCCTTCCTACCAAATGAACAGGGAAAAAGAAAGAAAAAAAAATGCAAACAGTAACACTGCCCTGTTTCTTTCATATTTTCAAGTGAAATAACTTGAGCAATTCGTACAAAAATAGAAGCTTTTCCTCAACGTTCCTACAAAAACTAAACTTCTTGAAAATGACCCTTTTAATGGGTGATAGCTAAAGTCAGATCATGCCTTTACCAACAGATTACTCACTAATTGATCGTTATCTAATTAGAAATGGAAGCTCCAGTTAGATACCACCATTGGATCTAACTGCTGAATCAAAAATACATGGTAATTCACTAGGCAAAGAAAAAAAGGTATAAAATGCATTTGAAAAGTGCGAGAACAAAAAACACTTTTAGAACATCAACAAAATTTTCACTTAAATTTAAAAGATATAAGCTGTAAAATTTGCATAGTAATGTAACATATAGGTCATCCAGCTCAATTTTAAAAGTCAAAAAACCAGCTTCATCTGTAAAGCTAATAGGACAAGAGAACGACCCATAATCCATCATATTAAGCTTCCTGCAATAACCAGAAAACTGAGCAAACTATCTAATTTTCTATTGCCATGAATGCCTCATGCTCTGGGTGCTATTTGTGGAGCCTGCCAACCACAATAATCATAATTGAATTTGAGTTCTTGCTTGCAGCCCAAAATGTGTATTTCAAGTTCTAGAACACACTAAGGCATACATTTATAAGTCAGTCCAAATGTGCCTCTTCAACTGGGGGCTTTACTGGTATTTGCCTATCCATAAGCTTACCAGATCAAACCACTGCCCCAAGCTCCACCACAGCAAATGGAACTGAAAAAGGAGAGACGAAAGAAACATGGAACAAAATTAAATAAAAAGAAACAAACTAAAATAAGTATCACATATGGAAAAGCCATTGAGCTGCTTTATAATTTAAAATCCATTAAAATACATCGACAGCATGCCGCTATAGATAACAAACTTTAGACCGTCTAACTATTAAAAAAAGAAAAACTTAATCTGAAAAGCAAGAGATCAACTCAATTTTCAGAGTCTCCAATCAAAATTTAGAGTATCTGTTCTTAAAATCTCTAGCCAAATTTCCCCGACCAGTCTTTTGAAGTTGTTTGACAATATTAATATAAACTCGAAAACTAGGCCTGAGACCCTTGTCCATCAATTCTACAATGATTCCTTGTGCAGCCATAAGATTTCCTTTTGCTCTATGAAGGTCCGCAAGCAAACTGTAAATTTCTGCACTTGATTGCTTATACTTGACACTTGACTCAATCACATAGTTGTGAGCCTCCTCATATTGTTCTGAACTCATAAAAGCTTTGAGAAGCGCAGCATGTGTACTAAGACGTGGTTCCATACTGCTGACTTCCATCTTATCCAAAAGCTTTTTTGCAACGTCCATCTTGCCCTGGATGCATGAGCTATGTATAAGAATCTCAAAGGTTATTGCATCTGCAGCAATCCCTTTATCTGTCATTTCCTCAACCACACTGTATGCTTCAGCAATTCCATTGTTCTTGCAAAAACATCCAAGCAGGTAATTGTAAGTCTTTACAGTGGGGACAGTCATCTCCCTAATAATAGCATGCGCTTCTTCAAAATGGCCTCTCTTGCATCTTTGGCGCATTAGTATATGGTAGAGTGAATCACGCCTTCCAGCTATTTCAATCGCAGACTTGGCCATCTCAAACATGTCCAAATTGCAGAACATCTCAACCAATGCACAAATGCCAGAATTACAGCAAGAGCCGCCAACCTTATTCAACAAATCTATCATTTCCCTCACTGATTTTACAAGCGAATCCTCACTAGTACTCAATACCGGTAAAAAGCCAAATGCATTTGTATCAAGGCAAATTTTTTCAGACCTGAATTCACGCAGTAATGACTCCATGCTAGCATAATCACCCAAAAATCCACAATTATTGATAACTAGACTACATACTTCAGCACTCAAACGTAACCTCGGATTATCATTCAGAATCCATCTAAAGAAGCGTAATCCAGAGATGTTCTGGCGATTTAAAACAGTAAAAATAGGCTTAATAGCCTCAATAGGAAGCTTTGAACCCACCAAGCTCAACTCAATTTCCATATCATTATCCTTACCCCCATTCTTGATTATCTCAATAATCTTTGAATTTCTACTAGGAGATGAATCAACACCATCTCCTCCTTTACCCATCATCTGTGTATCGCATTTGCACACCTTGTCTTTCAAATTTTCAATATTCTCACAATCTCTGCTATTCTCTGCTTCAGACACCAACAAATTCATGCCACTACTACCAGAAGATGGAACAACAGAAAATAATCGACCACAAAACCTTCTTCCATCATGAAATGGTTTTTGCACAGTAAAAGATGATCTATGAACAACTGAACAGAAATAAATACTGCTGCTGCTGCTACTAATGCTACATTTTGACAACCCAGTCAATGATCCCTTCAACAAAGATTGAGAAATTGAAGAAAACCCAGATGCGGAATTGGAAAAGAAATGCTTTTTCAGTAGTGGGAAAGAACCAAAATAGCAACTTGGAGGAAACCCATGTGAGTCATTATCAGTATTAGGCTGCAAAAAGAACTGTTTTTTCTGAGGAAGCCTGCTAAAATCACGAATTTTGCAGCAATCTGAGAGTGACCCAGTTGAGGAATTGCATTGAGCGGCATTAAGGAAGTTGGATGAGAGAAGAGAGCAGGGTTTAGAGGAGAAGTACCTAAATCTCCTTTTTCCAGAGATTCTTGATGAGATTCCCATGGTTAATAATAGCTCACTTCTCAGAAACCATCCCGCTGTTGCTCTTCTTCTGCTGATTGAACTCGTTGGTAGCGTGAAACAAATTCCTCTCCTTCGGCGTCTGGGCGCGAAAGGATGAATTGGAGACAGTACCGGTTAAAGAGAAGAAGGGCGTTAATTTCACTATAATCCCTGCAATTAGGTATTAGTCATATTTTGCCGCTTAATGAGTTTATTTTATGTGCAAAAGGGGGGGGGGGGGGGGGAGTTCCGACCAAAACCTGAATACTGACGTGAATGCAAAAACCCGCAAAAAACCTGAACGAAATGCAATCCGGAGCGAAGTTTGTACTGTAAATGGGTCGACACGAACACCATACGCAAGTGGATCATACGGGTAACCGATGAGTTGGATGTGATCAACCCTTATTAAAAGGTTAAAAGTTGTATACACTGTTGACACATAATTTAAATTTAAATTTAAATTTAAAATTCAAATTTTGTAAATGTAACGTCCATCCAATTGTAATAGCGTAGACACTGTCAATGTATATAAGATTTACTTTTTTAAAGATTAATCTTTCATGCACTGACAGTGTACATACTTTCACCGTTAGATGTATGAAACAAAATTCGAATTTAAATTTAAAATTCATATTTTACAAATATATCGTACATCCAATTGTAATAGTGTAAACACTATCAATGTATATAAAATTTACTATATATTTAATAGAAACTTGTAAGGTGACATATGCTTTATGACCTGAATAAAAAATTATTTTGATGCCTTTTATTTCATTGATTTCTTTCCAAAACATAAGCAAAAAATTTTTCAAAAAAATTACTACTTCGACCCCTTCCTAAATTTATACCAAAAAATTGGTAATTTCATCCTAATTTTATAGTTTGAGAATCAAAATAATGAAATTATATCCTTCACGTTTATATGCATAGACCTTAATTAGATCTAATCTCCAGAAACCCGTATTTACAATCTCTGTGATTTCAATATTTTGGTCATCATTTTTACTTTCACATTGATGAATACTTACCTTTTTTTTTGTCAAAAGGTCATCATTTGACATATATGAGAAAGGTTACAATATTCCTAACATATACAATCTACTGGCACAAAGCCTGGGCATCTTTGTGGGCTTCATTCCTAAGCCATGCAGGGAAGTCTAGCTCCCACCCTATTTCATCTATTAGGTTAATGGCAAATTTTGCCAAACCATGACTAGTGTGATTGTATTCCCTTCCAATAAATGTCAAGGAGCATCGACAAAAGGATCGACTAAGACGTATAACATCATCTACCAAAACATCTAACTGAGATAAACCAACACATCTGTGATTAATTCTATCCACTAAAACTTTACAATATGAATGAATGAGCAAAGATGTCCACCCTTCTTCAACTGTTTTAAGCATGGCTGTTCTAACTGCTTCAGCTTCTAGTATGGTAGCATCATTCTTTATTCCACTAGGGATTGCCTAAGTTTTGACAAGTTTTCCATTATGGTCCTTGGTTGCAATGCCAATTCCCCCTCTGCTTCTTTTTTTGTCCATTGCTGCATCAGTGAACTTTAGGGTGGTATGTTGGTTCTGAAGCTCTTTTGTCATGGCCTTCCTTTGTACTTATGAATCATCACTTCCTTTTTCCATTTTCACCAGGTTCCACAGCTGTTTGTACTCAAGCCATTCCTCTAGAGCTCTGTCTGAGATCAGGTTACCATTGATGCTTTCCTTGCTAAAGTTCCAGGTATTCCTGGCTTTCCACACTTCCACAGAAAGTTTATTGTGGCTTCTATGTGACTGATACCATTAGTTTTGCTTCTAGCTCCCTGCAGTGCTTCCCACCACTTCCAAAAATTCCATGAGCTCTCTTGGATACTTTCCCATTTAATAGGGAATGTCTTCCAAGCCTTCTCTTTAGCTTTACAGAAGAATAACAGGTGCTCTAGTGTTTCTACCTCTTTACCACAGCATTTGCACCATTTATCCCCTTTCCCAGTTCTTCTGTATACTTATTCATTGGGGGGCAAGATGTTATGAAGGCATTTCCACAAGAAATGCTTTAGTTTATGTGTTATGTTTAGATCCAGACTTGATGCAATAGTGTAGGATCATCCTTCCTTGTGCTGGATCCATCATTTGGTTGCACCTTTTTGGACTTCTTGCTCATTTTTAATCTAGCTTGTACGTACGCTGACTTGGTGGTGTAATCTCCACTGGTGCTGTGCTTTTAAACGAACTTGTCCTGCCTTTCCTAAATACTGAGAGGGATCATTAGTATTTGTTCAACCTCCTCCCAAGAGAAAGTGGATTGAATAAGATTGATATTCCACCCCTTGTTAATGATCAAATCACAAACTCTTTCAATGCTGCAGTTCTGAGATCTAGCTGATTTAATGAATCCAGATATGCCATTAGAGAGCCATCTATCCTTCCAAATTACTGTTGATCTATCATTCCCTATCTGTCTCCTAAGGCCGTCTTCTAGCAAAAGGATTGTATTATGAATGCTCTACCAAATCCAAGAGGAGCCTAAATTTACTTTGGCTTGCAAGATAGAGGAGTTCGGAAAATATTTTCCTTTCATTACCTTATTGACCAACAAATCAGGTTTTGTTAGAAGTCTCCACACTTGTTTGGCAAGCAAGGCTTCATTAAAGCACTTTATGTCTCAAATACCAAGTCCTCCTTTACCTTTGATATCTGTCAGGTCCCACCATTTTTTGTAGTGCATTTTCTTCACACCTTGATCATTTCCCCACCAAAACTTGGCCATCATGCCACTTAGTTCTTTACTTAATTCATCTGAAAAGCTTAAAAACCGACATGGTGTATGCTGGTAGAGCTAATGCCATGGATTTGAGAAGGACTTCTTTGCCCACATTACACAACATCTTGCCTTTCTACCAGTGTAGCTTACCAGTCATTTTGTCTTTAAGGAATCTGAAGGCGCTATTTTTGGATCGTCCTATAACCATAGGGAAACCAAGATATTTTGCCTAAGTAACATGCTCGATATTGCCCAGTATTTGGAGACACCTTGTTTGTTTGCTTGGGAGGTGTTTCTACTAAAGAGAGTGGCTGACTTCTCAATGTCGATCTTTTGCCCTGAAGCTTGTTCATATATTTGGAGAATTCTGGTGATCTTACTTGCCTCCTTAGCACTAGCTTTGCAGAAAATTAGTGAGTCATCAGCCAAAAACAAATGAGAGATAGCACGGCTATTCCTGGAGATTTTAATTCTTGTTAACATTTTATCTCTGCAAGCAGATGTCAAGAGATTTGCAAGACCTTGAGCACTAAAAAGAAACAGATAAGGGGACAGTGGGTTACCCTGTCTAATTCCTCTAGAAGGATAGACATAGCCTGATTGGTTCCCATTGATATTAAATGAGTAGGAACAGGAAGATAAGCACCCTTAAATCCACTTGATCCAGAGGGGGCAGAAATCCATTTTACTAAGGACACAAAGCAAAAACTTCCATTCTGCTCTATCATAGGCTTTAGACATGTCTAGTTTGAGAACCATATATCCCTCTTTATTACCCCTCTTATGATTAATCCAGTGGATATATTCATGAGCTATCATAACATTGTCCAAAATTTGTCTCCCTGGCACAAAAGCTGCTTGACCACTACTTATGCAATCATTCAAAACAGGTTTCATTCTATTTACAAGCACTTTTGAAATAATTTTATAAACAACATTGCATAAGCTAATTGGCCTGAGAAAGATTCAATGGTGTATCAATCTTAGGAATTAGTGTGACTAGAATTTCATTAAGAGCTTTGCACATATGGCCCAGGTGAAAGAAACTCTTAATATAGTCTCTACTAGGTCCTTTTTAATGATACCCCAGAATCTTTGAAAAAATAAGGGAGACATACCATCTGGTCCCGGAGCTTTATTGGGGTGCATGGAAAATAAAGCCTGCTTAATTTCCTTTTTTTGTTACTGATCTATTGAGATGAAGGTTCATTTGTTATGTAATTGTTCTAGGAATGCCCTGAAGGATCTCTTCAAAAACTGTAGGCCATGAGCTGTTAAACAGGTTCTGATAGTACTTAGCCACTTCTTCACCTATCTCCTCATCTGTTTCACACTAGCCACCTTGTTTCTTTTCCAATCTAGATATCCTATTTCTTCTTTTTCTACTAGCAACTCTCATATGAAAATAAGTTCTGTTTTTGTTCTCTTCTTTTAACCACTTGCATCTGGATTTTTGGGCCCAAAATGCTTCTTCCTTTGCATATTCAGCATATAGTTTCCTTTTTGAGGTCCATGATCAAAGACTGCTTGTTCTGTGCATTGCTAGCACATGTCTCTTCAATCTTGTCTTTGATGGCCTGAATATTAATTTTACTGTTAGACTGAAGTCCTTTGTTCCACACCTTGAGAGCTAATCTGCATTCTTTAATTTTCCTTGTCATTATGTACCCCTAGATCCCATTTGTTGTTTATCCCATGTAGAATCTACCACCTTTTCCACTTCAGGGTACTGCAACCATCTTGCATCAAATTGGAATCGCCTTTTCCATTTATTCCTTTCCGGTCTGGTATCCATTAGAAGCATAGCATGGTCAGAGGCTACAATCTGTATGTGCATCAAATTTGCTCCGCTATTGTTTCTATTCCACTCCACACTTGTTGGAGTTCTATCTAATCTTTCCTCAATCTCTTCACCAATGCTCTAATTATTACTCCAAGTCCAAGGCAATTCGTCAAAACCAAGGTCAATGAGCTCATTTCTAGCAATGAAATTTATGAACTTCCGAAAGGACCAGTTTTCTCTTGCTTTTCCACCCCACTTTTCATCATTGGAAATTATGCCATTGAAGTCACCAATGAAAACAATTTTGTTGTTCCACAATCTTCTTCTCTCAGTTAAGATTTCCCATTGTTTTTGCCTAATTGATGCCTCTAAGTTTGCATATGACAAATACACCACCAACTATTTGATTCCTGGTTAGCAGTAATCTTAACCTCAATGGTGAAGTCCGTAAACAAAATTTTATCAATCTTTAGTTCCTTATTCCAAAAGATAGCTATACCACCCGTCTTACCAACAAAAAGATTATCATAGTTGACTCTTTTTCTGATTTTTTTTCATAATTTTTTTTTATTTTTTGTTTCACTAAGAAACACAAGATTTGGGAGTGGAGGTTACAAACCTCCTTAAGATTGGGTATTGTCAAGGATCTCCTAGCACCTTGGTAGTTCCACGCCAAAACCTTCATATTGAGTTAGGAGACCACTTCAGGTTGGTCTTCGTCACCTTCAGCTCATTGTTCATTTCCCCTTCATCGT